ATAAATCGTTCGGGATAGCATTTCTGGACGGTGATTCTCTTGAAATTGTCCAGTTCGTCTTCTGTGGTATCCGGTCTCCTTTGTATTTCATTCATTTGGAAAGGCCAGAGTAATGCATGCAAAAGAAAATCATTCAGCCAATTCTACTATCATGGTAGTAACTGTGTGGATTTCTACAGACTTCAATTTTGTGTGCTTGTTTTTCTAATTCCATTATAACTATTGTATTTCTTTAAAACTCTTACACAATTCCATATTTTATTTCGTTTCTATGTACATCCTGACCACAGGTCAATCATTAAATTATTCATCTTATTACTTAACTGCATTGACAACTCATCACTACTACCCGCTCACCAATCTTCATCCTTCACCTAGTTGTAATCTGATTATTTATCACATTTCTTGAAATATTTTGATAAATAACCGTTTGGAAATGATTGATAAGGGGACAACAGAACAAAAGATTGGTGTAGTGAGTTGCGAAAAACACGAAACGGAGTACACACAGAGCGTATTGTACAGTTGTTATTCAAGAAAACAAAGAAAGAAGAAAAAGAAACACTTAGTGCCACAGTAGTATAAAAAGGGACTGCATAAAAAACGTTACTGGACACAAACAAAGCTCAGTTTTCTCTTGAAAGAGATTGCTAAGGCTTCATCTGCATGAAGAAGACGCAGGTAAAAACATTTCGAACGACTTAGTCCTACTTTATATGACTTTGAAAGTAGTCTCTATTGATGCTGCATAACTAGAAGTAAGCTGTTGACAGTTCTACATTCGAATATCTTCAGGATAATTCACCTCCCATATCAAATCAAATGGAATTGATGCATAATCTCAGACAGTTAAATACATGTAGGCTGTCATCACAGAGACTATTCAAGTGTAAAACAAATGTGGCATAGATCTTCATTATTTATCACCTTCAAAATTATAAACAACTACAGTTGTGGTGAGAGCTGCCTACCAGGCAAAATCGGTAGACAGTGATCTACGTCAATGTTTATGTCCCCGATATTGGTCATGAGAAAAAGAAGAACAAAGACTGATTCAACAACCAACCACAGCAGACTTTGTGTAGGCGGATACAATTTCCAGATAGATAATCTGAACTTCAAGAAACGGCCACAAAGAGATGAAGGATTAACGTTCAGCGAGAAACCACCAATTAGAAGACTATCTTTGTTTGCTTACAAAAATCTATAATAATTTACATGAAAATCTATAAATATCTGTTGATATCCTAAATTAACGATCTATTGCCTGGCCCTTGTCTTCTGTTGTTACACAGTAACTCACAATTTTGCACAGTCCCAGGATAAAATTCCACAACAGTTTCATTTTTGGTGACCTGGATTTTCTAAGTTGAACTACCCTAGAGTAGATATTTCATGTACCAGACTAAGAACCACATACAACATGTGATAACTCATGATACTATTATCCCATTGCCCAGACTATAGTAGGTGAAATGGGAATCGAACCCATGATTCACTGGTTGAAAGCCAAGTGATTCTTGGTTGGTTCGTCACCCGTTCTGACTAGCAGGCCACCTGATCTTTAATGTCGAGGAAAGCCAGGTGTTGGTAAAAATCTGAAATGCTTTCAGTGACTTCCTTCAGATTTCTCCTGATGTGAGATGAGAAACTAATGTCAGTATGGTGATGATGTATAAGATATGAAGGCAATAGAAAAGACTAGACAGTAGTACATGTTTGTCCAGAAGAACGACCAAAGCTCCATAATTAAAACAACCAGTTAGGAGAACACAACTAACTGCAAATCATCCACGTAAGCTACAAATATTTTCTACTATTTCAAGAATGTTCTAATATATTGTGTAATTCCAAGTACCTTAGGTCCAAAACTGCCAGTTGCAAAATAAAGCAACTCAATACCTGCATTATACACAGGTTTTAAGTTCTCCATCAACATAAGCTAACAATCAAGTACTGATTTGCATTATTGGACTAGACTTACATCCGAATGAATGACTTTATTGTTGAAACCTAGATTGCGAGGGTGAAAGTGGAAAGAATAACTTCTCGTTTAAAAAAACGAGTATATTAACCATCTTCCGATAATTTATGTCAAATGGCAGTTATATTTCTTACAGCTCGATACATTCAGCAGTCATATTCCACTCAATAAATATTGTGTAAACACAGTGTCGACCTATAGGGAGGCCTACATCAAGAGCACTTAAAAAGAGTAAAATGGGTCATATAATCTCTACGTGGTTGCTAAACTTTAAAAAAACAACACATACTACACACGCCATAAGGATACACTCAACGATTGAAGAACTGGTCAAGAACTCCATACAATTCTTCACGTTAATAAACTAATATTACTTACTCTTAGTCCCTACCACTTATTCCTTGTCACCGCGTAAGAGGTATATTATAAATCTTTGATGTAATTTACATTTTGCTTTCTATTTGTCCAGGTTGCAGCTAGTCGAGGCGAGTTGTCGAAATAATAAAAGATAGGCGCATCATATTAACCCGGTACATTTGTCATTCTTGCCTTTTTTAACAAAAAAATTGATGCCATGAGAACAAGGGAAGATTTTATGCTGAATTCTTTGTATCTCAACTAGCGCTTTAGCTGTACACGATATACACTTCGAGTTATGTTGAGAACAATGCAGATGACGAGTATAAGCTGTCTGTCTTTGTTAGGTGGAGAGGTCTGCACGACGACTTAAAAGAAAAAGTTGACGAATTTAGTTAGCATGATACAGGATCGATTATAGCTACACAGATGCACAGAGAATTACACCTAACTCGAGTAGCAATCTAACATACTGTTTTATTTGCTTTAACCTGTATTGCCCTATGATATCCTGTATAACTCTTGACTGCATAATGTTTGATCAAATGCAGAAATGTAAGAGGTTGGACCACTGAACACTGAATCTTGTGTCTTATTTGGATTATTATGCCTATGCATATTTAGATTAGCAGTGATACTTTGACAACTGACAGAGATAAGACCAAGTTATAAAGCAAGTTCCCTGTATTATATCATATCATAACGAACAAATCACTTCCTTTGTGCTCTTTATCCAATCTCTCTCAAGACAATTTAATTAAAAAAGATGGTATTCCGTAGGCAATCGATTGAAAATGACAAAAATAATACTGTGCAAGGTTGTTCTGTTCTTTACAAAAACTGACACCGAAAAGTGCACAGCATATCTACGGGCAAAAGCCAACAAGTATTATTGATATAAGTATAAAACTTGGGCACTGTGGTAGAGTATAACTCCATTTTATGGATAAGATTTTATTTTGATAAATCACAGCGTTGTACAGTATTATTGACTGATGACCACGTTTCAAGCACAAGCTATTGCTCAAAATAAAATCTTATCAATAATGGAGAAAAACCAACAAGTTTGCAATAAAATCAGAGAAGAAAGAATTTCAAGTGAATAAAGAGAAGACAGAGGTGATAAAGACAGTCAACCAACCAACTACAACAAGCACCACTCACCTTCAACGAGAGAAATCTAAAAGAAGTAACCTCTTTCACTTTATCTGGGTAGCATGATTTCGATTACAGGCAGCTGCAATAAGCGTGTAAAAGGAAGGTAGCATCGGAAGTCTACTGCACTCAGCATAAAAAGAACAAGATTCGGATTTTCAACACACTAATGTCATGTGAGTCAGTCAGTGCTTCTACAATGCTTCAGAGACTTGGGTACATGAGTCAGTAAAAGAATTTGCAAAAAAGGGCTTCAGACTTTATCAAGAGAAGCTGCTGTTTCTAATGATGACCAGACGATCAGAAAAGATTGACGACAAGTAACTCTGAAAGCGAACCAATCAAGTACCTATCGCCTGACCAATTACGAGGAAACAGATGGAGATGGATTGAATACACGCTGAGGAGATCAGCGAGTGACATCACATGCCAGACTAACCCTCAAGCGAAACCTAAATAGAAAACGACGAGATGAGCATGGCCCAGACAGTGACACAGAGGAGGAAGAGATGATGAGAGTTTATGGGTAATTCTGAAGCGATAGGATCCAGCATAAAAAATAGTATGTCATCCTTCCTCACGAATGGTGTGTGATTATCTTATGATGGAGTAACTATGTGAATACATATATCATTTCTCACGCGTATTGTGATTTTGTGTGTGTGATCAATTCGTCATCTTTTACCTCACCTTAGTCTTTGTTGGATCGCCAACCAATAAAGACAATCCATTCTCACGGCTATGAGCCGACTGTATTGTGACACATAATAAAACGTATAAATACCACATGTTGTTCCTAAAATGTACAATATCTTACATTCACACAGGCCAGCCTTTGTCTTCTGATATTTGCATGGTTCATTGAGTCGGAAGGTACAACGGACAAATAGACACGTATTAGCGTACCGTACCAGTCGAGTTCATTATCCTTATAACAACAATTAGCGGAGCAGATATAGCTAATCGGCAACGCGGTCTATTCAGTTCAGTGCAGTTATAACATGTGAAGCCAGTTGAAAAAAATGACCTGAAGAGAACAGCATGAAATCCAGATATGATATTGAAGTTCTATGCTCCACTCAGTTGTCAACTAACAAAAACATCTCAAAACTTTTCTATCTTTTCACTTGACGTCAGTCTAATTAATACACATCATAACCGATTGTGCAACAAATAAGCAGGAAGAAATGGAGATAGATTGGCTGGTCATACTCTGATTAAACCATCGAGTGATATCACTAGACAAGCCATTGCTCGAGTGGAACCCGAAAGGGAAGCGGCGAGTTGGTCTTCAGTGCGAGGGTGACATGAAGTGGAGGAGGTCATGTGAAGAGGTGATGAAAGCATTTGGGCAGACTTGAAGTCAGGTGAAAACTCTAGCAGAGAACCCAAAGCAATGGAGACGTGCCCTATGTTCCTCTAGATATTAAAGGAAATAATAATAACAACGGTAATAATCATTTGTTATTGGTGAAAATGTGCACCGACACACTACACACTACTTATGTAAACGAACGAAGAAAAGGCCTCAGAACAAAGATGATACAAGAATATATATTTATATATATATTCAACACAAGAACTAATGAAATATTTTCTTTTCTTAGAAAAAAACACCTACCACAAAAAAAAGAATGAGCATGTTTTACAAACACTTTTGCTTTCATGCAGATGCGCAAAAACACTTTACTTATATCATAATAATAATAGTAGTAATAATAATGAACTGAAAGTAAAAATGTGTATGCGCTTAATCAAATATACAATGTGACATATTTTTTCTTTTATTCACAAAAAGAAAAGAAGAGAGAAAAAAGGAGAATGAGTAAATATCTCTAAAGGGTTAACTCTATAACAACTAGACGGAGGGGGAGGGAGGTAATTTGTGTGGAGCTAAGAGAGAGAGAGAGAGAAGCAACAAGGAAAAATTGAGGCGTAGTGTGTAATTACGTCAACATTATGGATTGATTCATCCGTAGTTATAGCTGCATTCACACACACAATTGTTTGTAGTTTTTACCTGATTTCCATGCATCACGATGTAAATAAATGTTTTCTTTTCTTTTTATTTATTTAATAGTAATCAATTATGAAACAAGGTTAATAATATTTGAGTGGTATTCCCTCTCTCTCTCTCTCTAGAAGGGAGTGTGTGATAGATAATGCTGCTGGTGCTACCACCGCTGCCGCCACAACCTCCACCGAAAAATATGTAGAATCCACCAAACTTGGTCACAATTCCTACTGTGAATATACACTCCATACATACACATATATGAATTAGAAGACAATCCAGTGTGATTAGGGGTTGGGGTTAACATTAGCAATAACAAAATATTCACTTCACATAATTGTCATTATCATTAGTGAGACAAGAATAAATACATCAATAGTAGAAGTTCACGATCCAGGGGTGTAGGTAAGATCCAAGAGAGCGTGCGCGCGCGCGTGCGAGAGAGAGATAGTAGTTTAATTAATTAATTAAATAAATAAATTAGTGTATGTATTAAAATGATGTAACAGTTTAATTGAACTACATAGAATCATACGAGCAAGATTACACACACATTTTCTCTCTATACATATGAATTATGAATTTGTCTGTTTGTCTGGTTGTGTCTGCTTGCGTGAGCGCCGATCCCAATTTAAAGAAAACAGTAGTTAGTTAGTCAGTTAGTTAGTGGCTTGGTTATTAACAGTTGTAATAAAAAATAAGGTGTACATTATCATTAGACAGATGAGAATGTGCATTTAGTAGAAATGATTAATGTCTATTATCACGGTTAACTGTCGTCTTATCATCATCATTCACAGATTGATTGATTGGCAAGGAAAAGACGAAAAGATAAGATAATAATAATTCGTAACGATAGCATAATAATAATAATAATAACAATAATAATGAGTAGTAATCGCAGTAGCCTTATTTCTCTCCCCCCCCCCCCCCGCCGACGCTTCACCTACCCACTTATATCATGAATATATGTTAGGACACATTGACCAATCGTTGGTTAATTTATGCTCCCAATATTTTCCATTGAAAATGTAAGTTTCTTTGTTTGTCGCTGGATCAATTTCTTTTGTAAACCATAGCGGTTTATGCTGACTGTCAACAATATCAACTGTAAAATCAAAAAGAAATCAAATAATAATCATCAATACGCACGCACAGAAACGCAATTTATATACATGCAATACATTCACAGTGTTTAGAGAAATTAAACCAAGCGGCTAATATGACCCGGCGTCTTACATAGCCTCTCCTGAGGAAGTCCTACTCACTGCCTTCACGTGGCGGAGGTGTTTTTCACCAAAGTGAGAGGGCGAAAGCGGATGCCCGGCGCTCTTAACCGGGTTGACTGTCCATTGGATGACAGTCTAGGGGAGATGGCTAAACCCTGATTCCAAACCTCCAACGACTGGCGTATGAAGCTCACGTATGGACAAAGGGCTTGTTGGATGTCCTGAATGTCTGGCCCCATTCAAAAAGGCGTATGAACCGAACTCCGGTCACCGGCTGCCAATGGATAGTGGACTCCCTACTCCACTCCTACTGCCTTGTAGGTCACACTTGGTTGTGTAAAGGCTAGAGCTGCACTCTCAAACAAAAGGCCGAGTGATTCTGGGGACATCACTCGTACCAAATTCCCATGAAACTTCATGAGGCAGCGATGATTCGAGATGTTCACGAAGCCGGCTCATCCTCCCGTAGGAGATAGCCGAAGTAAAGTAAGTAAGTAAGCGGCTAATATAAAGTATGAATTATTCTTCATTTTTAGTGAAATATAATTGTAATTATTTGTCTCTAGGATTCCGAGTGAAACAGAAGCCTGTTAACTTTAGTCTTCTGAAAGTGACTCTATGATGACTCATCAGCTTTTCATCGCTTCTAAGTCACCCTAGGACGGTGACGGACAACTTGTCGTTTTCCAATTTGGCCTCCCGTCGAGGGTGTGATGCACGATGTCACTCAACGGTCCTCTTAGCTCATTTCCAATCAATCTTCATTGCATTCTGCATATATTAGATGTATAACGTCTTCTTGATTTGGTTCGTTACCAGTGTTAATCGATGCCAATCTTTTCTAGCCGGTCATCTGATCTCCAGTTTGGTGCCAACGAAGACAGATTATCAATAAATCTGAAATCTCTTGGAGGTATTTATCGTGATGTGAGCACCACATCTCTGAACTATATATGCACGCATTGACTGACTCACCTGATATGAGTGTTAAAACTCCGAATCTTCTTCCTCATGCTTAGTGCAGTCGACTTCCACACTGATTTCAGATTACTGAAGGTTTGGCCTGCTTTTCTCACCCTGGTGCTGCCTGTATTTGAAAAAAGAGGGTGATTCCCTTTAGTTCATCCCGCCCCCACCATGGATGGTTAGCGTCTGTTGTTGTTGGTGGTGGTGGTTAGGTACCTTCATCACCACAGTCTTCTCTAAATATTTACACTTGAAATCCTGTTTTCGCTACATCTTCTGGCAGTTTGTTGGTTTTCCACCTAAGGACCTTCGAGTTCTTGCCACATCAAACATGACTTATCCTAGAGAAATTAGGACCTAAGTTCCTTTTTGCCGCTTAGACGTATACCTGTTTTCGTACTTCTCACAGTCTGCCACATGACTGAATCCACTAGCGTCAGGAATACCAACGGTAATAGTGTTGGCAGCCTTTTCTTACTCCTATTTTTACTGCAAAGTCCTCGCGCTTAACTTTCGACTGTGAATTACTTGACATGTGGCGTCATCATCATATTATAATTGTTGAATGAGATTGATAAAGGCTTAGGGCATTCTGTAGTGTTGCAGCTGTCTCCAAACTACTTTGCAATCGACATTGTTGAAGGCTTTTTTCAAAGCCAATGAAGTTCATTCAGGTAGAGATTTGACTGTCATTATATGGTGCATCAAACTATAGGGAGTATTAGAACCATCGACAGCAGTATTACTGACTAATCATCCTAGTGGCGTCGAATGTGCCCAACCGACAGATATGAACTACGTATATCGATATATGTTACTGAGGACCAACCACTAGTTTCACTAGACTCTATTTACCTGTTCCTTTTAACGTTGGCTTGTAATAAAATGGTCTAGTATGGATAATATGATTTCACTGCTCTAGTATTATGTTGAGAGGAAAAATATTTTTCGAAGAAAAATACATAAATGCATTGAGAAATCACTAATATAAAGAAGACTTACGAAAACTACTGGCAGTTGGGGCTGATTGATAACTCTCTGAATCTATAGATTTTCCTTCAGCTTCATTTCCACTAGAAGCGAGTGACTGTTCAGCTAATTTAGCAGCCATTTGACGTCTCCTCTGCCGTTGTATCTCTTCAAGTTGTACCTTCGATCTGTTGGCTTCATCCCAACGACCAGCTTCCATAAGACGCTGATCAGGTCGTAAACGGCAATCTGTAGGGCATACACCTTCCTCCGGTTCATTCAACTGCAAAGCCAAACGTGTGAAGTAATACATACGTTCTGCATCCGGTGGCAAGGGATTGCTTTGCCATAAAAGTAATGCAGGACCAGTTTCTAGTACTGGTTTTCCATTACGTGTTTGTCTAGCAGTCAATACAGGTGCATATTCAAGTGAATCATCCCAAGTACCGTTTAGCACATATCGAACAGCACCAGATTTGTCCAGTACAGCACCAGTTACCTATAAAGGATGAGATGGTATGAGGAAATGAGTGGATTATATGATGCAGGAAAATGAACTTTTTTATTCATACCTTGTGAGTGATTGATAAACTACAGAATGAGTAGTTTTGAAATAATTAAGGTATTACGTAAAACAGGAGTTAATAGTTTTAAAAACTGGAGGCAAACTTAGGCATTTCTTCGTCATGAAAAATTTATTTACAAGCATTTATATCTATATACTAGTCACGAAAAGGATTTCCAACAGGCTACTTCCGACTTTCATCAACAGCTGTCTTCTCTGGCTTCATACTGAAGATCTAGTGACCAGAAAGAATAAGCAACAGGAAACTCTGGAAACACACCAACAAGCAAGAGCCGATCTCTCAACAAATAGGTAGTAGAAAGTGGAGATGGATCAGGCATACATTGAGGAGGCCGCCGAATGACATCGCACGCAATGCAGGCCATTGCTCGAGTGGAATCCAAATGGGAAGCGACGAGTGGGTCATCAGTGCGAGGGTGACATGGAGGAGATCGTGTGAGGAAGAGATGAGAGTTTGGTCAATCGTGGACGCAGATGAAGAGGACAGCAGAAAACATAACAACGTGGAGATATGTTGTTGAAGCCTTATGTTGCACTCGGAACGCAAGGGAATAATAATCTCTTGCGTAATAACGACAGTGATTACATACCATGTTAAAGAGTTGGTTTGTCGAATTGTACACATGATCTGGAATATGTCAAATCCACAGATACGTGTGTATACGTTGGTGGTTCAGTGGTAGAATACTGACCAACGAAGCAAGTGGTCTGGGAATCTAGCCCCCGGCCGACACACTCCTTTACCTCAATGAGCTGGTAGTAAGCCAGGTAAAGAGGGAGGGTTTAGCGTGAGGTTATGAATGACAACCCGTGAAAATCAAACCACTGCTACCAAAGCGTCAAAGCTCCAGCTTGAAGCCTTCCCTTATGTTCCACTGGGAACCCAACAGAATAAAAAAAGTTAGAGATGTTAAGGAAATAATTCAATCAGAGAGATGAGCGCTTAAAATCATCTGCAGTCACAAGATACCGATCAATAATAAGCCTAATAATAATAATAGAATCCTTACAGAGTACTTGTTACAACGAAACTATAGGCTGTGATTTCAAGTGAAACATCGTCGGACATTATATTAAGGAATAATCTATAAACAGTTTTGAAATCTATAGCATCATCTCAAGTCAAATTCGCCCTTTTCCCTTCAGAGGTGAAACTATCACAGTATGCTTCCACATAAATCAAATCAGTGTGGTGATTTAATTTACACATTGAACTGGTACAAATAGCCTCAAGGCAATTAAAAACACAACCAGGATATTTTCATGCTAAAATAATAACGCGAAAAGAAATCTTCATTTGTGTCAACTGAGTCATATGAAATGATCCTCCATTCAAAAAAAAAGAAAAAAGACAAGATACGAAAGAATGATGCTAAGGAAAGCTTCGTGTGCTTTTGGAAGTGTGTGGGCGGTTGTTACTTCCCGGCTACCACCCACCACACCGGGGAAGTTGATTGATTCTTCGAGTACCTGAAACAGAGAGAGGGTTAGTGTTGCGTGGCCGCAGAGCCGGTAACTGCTTTTAGTCTAATCGCTATCCTAACAACCTTCCTGGCATAGTAGGACCTGCAGGAACATTGGTTCCAGCCAGTGCAGCTTGTTAGGTCATCGCGATATGCAAGCCCGACCACCACGAGAAAAGACAATATTTCAATAAATCAATCAATAAACCGATCATTAAAAAAAAACACTTACCCGACGAGGTTTTTCACTCGAGAAATATGAATACGGCTTATAGGATAGATGACATTTTTCACCTGTATTATGATTGATTATATCCATTTCACCGCTGTTATCAATCCATAATCGGCCAACAATGATATTATGCACTGTCATAGGAATTTTTTGCCATGTGTAATGATGTCCTGTTCGACGAAACACTAGATGACATGTACCGACTGGATTAATCTGTAGATATTTACCACGGAATTTTGTTGTCATAGAGAATTCGAACCAACAATACCAGGCATTACTTTCACAGTGTAAAGCACAAGCCGGTGGATGATGACTGACCTATGGGATAAAAAAGAAAGTCAACAGGTTGTTTGTTACAAAACAGAATTTAATCAGCAACAAACAAAAGAAGTGAATACGATTCAGTTAAAGAAAAAAAAGAGAAGAGAAACAGAAAGACAATCGAAGTGAATACAACACACATACGCATACACACACACACAAATAGATCCTATTCATATTAAAGACAATTGTCGTCATCATGGTAACCATTATTATTTTTTTCTATTTGAATTAGAGGAAAAGGAAGAGGAATAAACTTTCACAAGCATGCAAAGTAGTTGATTGTGTTTAATTCACTCCACTACCATATATAGGAAAAAGGAAAGGAAAAAAGGAGGTTACAAAGATGCCAATAATCATTTTAAGCAGTAGGACTTCAGATGAGTACAGTAAGTAAAAACAAATATGAAGAGTGATAGGTATATAGCCAGGAAAGGTATTTCTCAGAAAAAAAAAGCCTTTTTAACAAAATTTCTTGAGAATAATCCTGCTTTTGGTAATTTATAGTCTTTCTCTAACACAATAACTTCATGATGTATATAGCTGAAGGAAGGGTTATTGACTTTTGGCGTGGTTTTTTTTGACTTCAACATGGGAGGGCACTTTAAAAATGCTAAATTTGTCAGTTTACAGAGAATAAATTGATTTGGCTAAACGTTTCCATCACCAGTAGACTTAAACCATTTCGTAAGTTAAATTTTAAAATTAGTTCGACTGATATTGACTTAAAGCATTACGAATTCAGCTGAGTTGCCAACAAGAAGTCGTGCGGTTTGAACAGGCTCAATCAAACCGGATGCAACACTGATGAGTTCACACCAAAACCTATCGAAACAACCATCTGATGTCTAGATAACTTTGAAAGTCTCACTAACAACCGCTAGAGCTTGGTTAGATGGGCTAAATCCATTCTGTCTAACTCACACCACCCTCTTCATTCACAACTCTCCCCTTGTATCTCATCAGGCACGACCGGAAGCCTTTATAGAAAACTATATGCTCGCACCACCAAGTACAAAAACTCAACCATACCCCACTTGGCTCGTGTTTTGTGCGATAAAGAAAGCATTAGGCGTGAAACTTATAACTAATTAAATAGTCAGTAGAAAAATTGGATCTCGTCCTTCCAACTCATATCATTTACAGGTACAACGTTTTCTTTCTTTCTTTTCCTTTTCTTTTGTGCTGTTTTGTTTCTCTCTTCCTTAAAACATTCTTCTTCGTTCTTTCACACTCTGTATATATCGACCTTTTTGTTACCGCTTACGCCAGTAAATATGATAGTATCTACTTTCCTAACACCCCTCAAACATTCTGTTCACTTTTGGCTTTGCTACCGATATGCTAATATGTTGTTGTCAAAATTAACTGAGACTACCCATAATCTATGTAGAATTTTATTTATTGTTAATGTACAAACTGGATGCAATACTGTAGAGTGAAATGCTGAGAATTCCATTCTGTATCACAAGTACTGTTTTGGAATAACGCAAATTATTATTATTATTGATTGATTGATTGATACAGAACCACTCATATCGATCGATCGATCAATCAATCAATCAGTTGTATAAATCTATAGAAACAGTCTCAATTCCTATCAACATTTAGTCATGGTTTATTACACGTTTGGAATTAAAGCGTAGAGGAGCCACTAATCAAGCCATAGTCACTTTATTGATCGATGACCGTCAGCATATGTTATAATTTCAGATGTGTTATTGACTGCTCTGATCTTATTTCAACCACACATTTCTCCAGTTCTCATACCTCTTGGTACTGTTTTTTTTCCACTATCTTGTTTCATCACAGTGTACAACAACTTCCACAGTTTTATCAAGTCTCACATCGTGTCATGCATTGAACTACTCTAACTGTGAAGATGAATTTTTCACTGATAACAAATGATAATGATCGTGAGAAAAACAAAGTCGGTTGGTTAGATTTTTGAACTGTATGAATGACTGGATCCTGATCTAGAAATTTAGGACAGAGAAAGAAATTTCAAGGCCTATCAGATTAATTCCGTATTAAGTCGTGGAGTTGGCACTGTTGAAGAGCATCGAAGTAGAACAAAACAACATCTGAGCGATTTGTTTTCATTTATCTCTGTATCTCCGGTAGGATGATTATAATGGACCGAAATATTCGATCGATGTTGTTGACCTGTCGGCTCCGAGTACAGAAATTCAGAATAAACCAACGGGAAATACAAGTTTACATAAAAAATAAATAATAATTGGTACCTGTTGCATAACAGGTGGTTTAAAAGTGATCTAGTAGATAACGCTTTGGCTTTTGAAACGACAGTGGGAACACCATCACTCACTGAGAATGCAGGCACATCCAGCTGACTAGTCTCATATACGACGTAATACACATCCTGGATTCCACTGCTAGTCCACATCCACTAAATAACAACACCTAAGCTATTTGTTACAGGATTTCATCATGAGCTGACATCAGTTAGGGAACCATTAGAAAACCACCTGGGAGTACTGGACAGCTGTTTCGTCATACTTTGGGACTCTTCACAGTACACACCCGCTGGGGTTCGAACCCAGGATCTACTGGTTACAAGGCGAGCTCGTAGAGCCCCCCAGTGGCTTAATGCTCTACGAGCTCTCCTTGTAACCAGAGGGTCCTGGGTTCGAACCCCGACTGTGGGTGCGTGCTGATGAAGAGTCCCAAACTAGGATTAAACAGCTGTCCAGTACTCCTATCTGTTTTTCCAATGGTTCTCTAACTAATGTCAGCTCATGATGAAATCCTCTAACCAATCAAATCCCTACAAATCAACACTTGAATACCTAAGCTATTTATCAGTTTTTCTAGATACCTCCTCTGTTGATATTCCAGGCTAGTAATAGGAACTGCGTTCCAAAATTAGTATAATACAATAAAAGAATATGTAAATTTTATTTTTTTTTTTGATAAATCAATTATCTATTATATGAAATAAAAAAGAATATGCCATCTGTCAGTAGGATAGGAAAACAATTCAAAGGATACTTTTCTGACAACAGATGCATTTCTATCTTTACTAGTAAACTAATGCATCTTCACTACTTTTCGATAGATAATCATACAGAGCTACTTTTCACATCAACCTAGAAAAAGCTACAAGCAATGTTGACTGGTATTCATTGAAGGCTATAAGAGTTCAGACTATCTCAGAGAAGATGAGTCTATTTGATTTAGGCAGCCAAGTAAAAAGTAGGATTTCTATATGTTAAAGATCTACAGGCTTCAGAAAACGGAGGATGCATACTCTTTTTATGTGAAAATGCACAGTCTATTAAATATAGCTCGACCAGCGTCAAATTTGCCGCAGAACTCTTCAGCAGCACTGACTCGTATATTTAGGATAAAGAATGAAATGACTGAATCTATTGACCACACATCACCTATTTGAGACAAGATACTAGTCCTGAGAGATGACCTGGCACCTATCAAAGAGCGAAAGAGTGGACGCATTCAGGTTATCATACTTCAGAATGCCATTGATAAAAGTCTACACGAGATATGTGATAATGTGACTACTATGGACGGAAATATGAAGGAGACAAGATTGTTAGATATATAGATTAGTGAAGACTTTCAGAATTTGAATGATTAAGTATGCATGTAAAGTCTCCAACTGTTGATTCTAAGCATCCGGAAGACTTCAACTAAGTCGTGTTAAGCAACAATCAAAAACTTCATGGATTGGCGTTGTGTTTTAGATTGACCACCACTAGCTCTTTTATAAACTGGTCCTATAAACAGCTGATACTGATCATCAGAGACGCAGGTGGTTTCAGCATGTGTGGCACATATTCCGGTTATTTCAGCCGATAGAACTCTACAAATTCATCGTTTTACTTTGCTTTCACAGTACTACTATTCTGTCACTGTTCTCTTATTGTACGACGACTGAAAACGATACACTTCTGTACGAGGTCAAATACATGTGGTATACGATTGAATGTTCTAATATATTGTATAGTCCTATACACAGTGGGAAACGAGAAGACAGGGATACCCTGGACCAACATGAAGAACCTAGAAGACCTGGATTTCACGCGTGGATGATTTATGTTTGATGTCACAAAAAATCGAAGACTTACAAGCGAAAACCGACAAACTGGTCGAAGAAGCAGCAAAGACAGAACTCCAGGTGAACATAGACAAGACGGAGGTTATGAAAATAACCAACCAAAAACAACATCAGCAGAAACATCCAGCGCCAATCACCATCAACGGGAGGGATTTGAAAGAGGTTATTTCTTTCACTTATCTAGGGAGCATTGTCTCAACTACAGGAGGAACGGACGAGGATGTCAAATCGAGAATCGGGAAGGCGAGAAACACATTCATCAACCTGAAACCAATCTGGAAATCTTCGTCACTCAGCCTGCATCAACAACAAAATGATTCGGATTTTCAATACAAATGTCAAGTCACTTCTTCTATACGAATGGATCAGAAAGTTGGCAGGTCACAAAGAATATTTCCAACAGCCTGTTGCAGACCTTTATCAACAGCTGTCTTTGCTCTATACTCAAGATCAGATGGCCGGAAAGAATCACCAGCAAGAAACTATGGGAACAAACAAAACAAGAACCAATCGCCCAGCAAATATGCAGTAGAAAGTGGAGATGGATTGGACACTCGCTGAGGAGGCCGCTGGGCGGGTGACATCACGCGTCAGACCCTCGAGTGGAACCCGAAAGGGAGGCGGCGAGTGGGACGTCCAAGGATGACATGGAGGAGATCGGGTGAAGAAGAGTTGAAACAGTATGGACTAACGTGGATCCAAGTGGAAAGTACAGCAGAAGACAGAAGCAAGTGGAGACGTGCAGTTGAAGCCCTATGTTCCACTAGGAACCCAAGGGAACAATAATAATATAATACACCTTGGGTTCTAAACTGTCAGTTACATCAGTCCACTGTAAAATCAATCAATTCAGTACCTGCATCATACACAGGTGTGTAAAGTTCACCATCCACATAAGCTAACAACCAAGCACTGATTTGCTTTACTACACTACAGACAAACGAAAGACAACTAAGTGATTTGATTGTTTAAACCTAGGTCATAAGAGTAGAAGTGAAACGAATGACTTGTCATTTAGAAAAACGAATATCTTAACCAGCTTCCAATAACTTTTGACGAATAGTAGTTATATTTATGACGACACAACTTATTGTGAAGCTGTGGATCATTGATCTAGATGTCCAACTTCCAACCAGGGAGTCACGGGTTCGAACACCGTTCCACCGACCTGGGGTTTGGGTATCCAAGTAATAAGATTAACCCTAGTACAATAAGTGTAGTTCACTGCAAACTGCGAGTGGTTTTCCACTCCCACACATTCAAGATACATTCAGAAATCTTATTTTACGAAGTGAACAATGTTATGTAAAGTGAGCTTCGATCTTTAGGAAGGTCTATATCACAAGCATTTAAAGGAAGTCAAAAGGGTCGAGTAATCTTTACATGATTTCAAAAAATAAACATACACTACACACGCCCTAAGAATGCATCCAGTAACTAACTGATACTTTGACAACAAAGGGAGATTTTGTGTATTTAAAATAATTTTGAAAGTTACTAGGTGCTTTTTAAACAAACAATATGCTGTCAAACAGAATGGTCATATGACATGCGGAAATTTCAGGAAATTGATACAGATAATGACAAAAAGTCTTGACAATTAGCACGTTAATTGTCAAAAATCCAAAGAAACGATACAACTTGAAGGCTATTAAACATGTTGAATTTTTTTAGTATTTTTCTTTACTTGCACTTTACCTGTATACGATATGTGACATACATTTCGAGGTACATTCCCTGGCTAGGTTGAGGTTTGCATAACAATGGTTGATGAATTTGGGTGCTGATTACAAATGATTACATATTGTACAGATGTGTACAAAATACAAGCCCTTTAACCTATCTTATCCTATGATATGCTACAACACTTTTGATCGTATAATGTTTGATCAAGGTAGAAATATGGCAAAACTGGACCACTGAACAGTAATCGTATGTCCAGTTTGGATGATGAGGCCTCTGCATATTTTTACATGATTAATGTTTGCTTTTAAAACTGACAAAGAAACTGATCAGGTTAAGAAAAAGTTCCCTGTAGTACATCTAAATGAACAAACCACTTTGTACCTTGTGTAGAAAATTCCTTATCGTTTCAAGACGACTCAATAAAACAGATAGTATTTAATTTGTAATCATTGAAAAATGACCAAATAATTATGTACGCAGTGTTACTTTATCCTATGTACTGTTTGCTAATCAACAATTAGAAGCACAGTAATCTACTAACCTTAGTAATCGGTTACCAAGTGAAATCTGATAAATTTGTGGAAGTTGTTAGACACTGTGATGAAACACGATAGTGGAAAAACAACAATACCAAGAGGTATGAGAACTGGAGAAATGTGTGGTTGAAATAAGATCAGAGCAGTCAATAACACATCTGAAATTATAACATATGCTGACAGTCATCGATCAATAAAGTGACTATGGCTTGATTAGAGGCTCCTCCACAACTTTAATTCCAAACGTGTAATAAATCATGACTGAATGTTGATAGGAATTGAGACTGTTTCTATAGATTTATACAACTGATTGATTGATTGATCGATCGATATGAGTGGTTGTGTATCAATCAATCAATCAATAATAATAATAATTTGCTTTATTCCAAAATGGTACTTATGATACAGAATGGAATTCTCAGCATTTCACTCTACAGTATTGCATCCAATTTGTACATTAACAATAAATAAAATTCTACATTCTAGATTATGGGTAGTCTCAGTTAATTTTGACAACAACATATTTGCATGTCGGTAGCAAAGCCAAAAGTGAACAGTATGTTTGAAGGTGTTAGAAAAGTAGATACTAGCCTATTTACTGGCATAAGCGGTAACAAAATGGTCGAGATACACAGAGTGTGAAAGAACAAAGAATAATGTTTCAAGGAAGAGAGAAACAAAACAGCACATAACGGAAAGGAAAAGAAAGAAAGAGAACGTTGTAGCTATGAATGATCTGAGTTGGAAGGACGAGATCCATTTGTTCTACTGACTATTTAATAAGTTATAAGTTCCACGCCTAATGCTTTCTTTATCGCACAGAACACGAGCCAAGTAGGGTATGGTTGAGTTTTTGTACCAGCTAGTGTGAGCATATAGTTTTCTATGTAGGCTTCTCGTCGTGCCTGATGAGATACAAGGGGAGATTTGTGAGTGAAGAGGGTGGTGTGAGTTAGATAGAATGGGTTTGGCCCATCAAACCAAGTACTAGCGGTTGTTAGTGAGATTTTCAAAGTTATCTAGACATCGGATGGTTGTTTCGATAGGTTTTGGCGTGAACTCATCAGTGTTGCATCTGGTTTGATTGAGCCTGGATAGACGAATCAGTTCAAACCGCATGGCTTTTTGTTAGCAACTTGGGCGAACACTATAGATCAAATTCGTAAGTTGCAATTCACGTAGTTCGAGGTAAAATTTCACCACAGTTTTCTTTGGTAACTCGTCTACAACCCAGAGAATCAGCCGTCGTCCGGTGTTTTATTCAAAAGAATCCCTGGTCGATGAGAGTGGTATACAACTAACTCAATATCAACCAATTAGTAGCACATACTGTCATGCATTAATGCATACTTTCTTCATCACTAGCTATAATATCAAGCAGATCATTCATTTGTGATCGGAATAATTCGGTTCGCAAAGTGGTGGTGAAAATTCCACCTGAAACTGCGTATATTTCCACTCGTGAATTAGACACTTTACAGTTATTCAATTGAACTGTCAGCAAGTATCAAAGTCAATTTTTTATTTACATTTTTATGAATTATTATGTGCTGAAAGTTCAAATATTTATTGGGACATAAAATCGATCATGAATAAGGGGATAACGGTCGGTAGTAAGAGTAACACAATATACTATAATATAATTTAATATATAGGAGAAGAGTGTATTTGACAGAAGAAATGATGCTCGCTAGTCACTTGCTACAGGACAGAGTTTCCTGGAGTTTTAGTGAGCAGTTGTGACCAGTGAGGTCCATCCAGTCAAGTGTGAGGATGGATGTCCCACTGATGACATTGGGTGGGGTCGCGCTAAATCACCAATTGGTAGAAGTTAGAATTCATGGGCTGGCCACTGAATCGGGTCCCAGTGGCTGGATGGTATACGAGCTTGCCTAATAACCGGAAGGTCCTGGGTTCGAACACCGGCGGTGGGTGCATACTGCCGATGATTCCCAAACTAGGATGAAACAGCTGTCCAGTACTCCCTGTGGCTGGTTTTTAATGGTTCTCTAACTGATATCAATCCATGGTCAAATTCGTAAAAAAACAAATTTAATCCTTAGAAACCAACTCTTGAGAAGAAATGAAGTTCCATTTTTGTTTATTAACAAAAGCATATGAGGCTTCTATAACGACTGTGTGTTGTGAAACAATGCAAAGAGGTTTTCATTGAACTAACACACTAACAGACACAGGCACACACACACAAGTGGATAGTGGTAACAAGAAAATGTTTATAGATAAATATAAATATTCAGGTTAAACTACTTTGTTGCTTTATATATTAAAGAAACAGGAAGAAGTGGTATTGTACCATTTTTAATGCCATGTGACTAAATTTATGTGATGAATACACATACGTACGCACACACACACACAAACAAGTTATGTGAGATACACCTGACTAGATATTCCCACACTAACTAATATCATGTAAACTATACGGTAATAGGTAATATGTAAGTGGTATTTCATTCTATTCTATTTAGTTATACAATAAAGAATTTTATGATCAAGAAGACTATCTCTCATAAATAAAACAAAAGATGAAAACAATTCCCTAGAAATAAAAATTACTTTGACAGAAAAACACACTTTAGAGATCTATACAATAAATAAGGCCATACCTGTTCAGCTAACGACCGCCAACCGAGATCATCGGTTCTGTCACATTCATATGTTTCACCCAATAAAGGATTGAATGGTTTATTTGTACGCACTGCAGTTGTAGCATAAGCAGAGACAGTGAATGCAGCCACATAAGCCATTTGTTCCAGTGAATCTTGACAGGCAGCAGCACGATCCAAACATGAAGAATATTCAAAGTCTTCTGTTAAACGTTGAAGCATTGACAATGGTTCACTGAAATTAACCTGGAGGAAAAAATAAATGGAAGTAATTAAGAAATGTTGCATATGAAAAAGGGATCTCTCTATTGACATGGAAGAGAGCATGTGCTCTGAGAGTAAGAGTTTGTGTGCAGTAAGCATTTGATAATCTATATCACATTTCATAACATGAAATCAAATGAACTCAGAAAACGCTAACTAAATGGACTACTTTTAACACAATATTTCCATTTATAGAGACCTGAAAAGAGATCTTTTTTGATAATGTACGAAAATATTAATTTTGTGATAAACGCGAGCAGGTCATGTATTGATTTTCGTTTAGCTTAATTAGTCTACTTATTACTCATTACATTCTAAGAGGCTTTAAAATGTATACTGCTAAAGCCGTAAATTGTTGTTTTCATTAGATCGTAATAGCTTCTTAGTCTTTGGTTACAGTTCATGGGTAAGCAACTACGTATATCAATACCTTTGACCTTAAACTCTGCTAGTATATTTAAACAATACGTGTAAAACAATTATAAAGTAATTAGAACCCTTGATAAACGAAACTGGCAACCTGCTTGACTGACTGGCTGACTGGTTTCAACATAAAACTTTGCACCGATATACAGCAGTTCGAGTCGCCACACCCCATGTAGCACACAAAACAAGAGAAATTAAATAGGAATGAAAAATAGAGACAGTAAACCGACATAAGGCAAAAAGAATAGTAATATCGAAGAACAATACAGTTTTATTGGGTATTTTTAGCCTGCTTGGACTTTATAGGTTAATTTGTGGACGGTGACTAGCAGTGGAATCCAGGATGCGCGTTCCCCCCTATTTGGGACTCGTCACTGGATGTATCTGCATTCCGCAGTGAGTGATGATGTTCCCAACCAGGCTCGAACCAAGTGCCCATAGTTTTAAACGCCGAAGCGTTATCCACTAGACCACTTGAGCCACCTCTTGTGCAACGGGTCATATGGATTATTTCAGTTGAATTTTAGATTTTCCCGTCGATTGGTTGGACCAAAGTGCTTGACCTCAGGTTTATACTATTAAAAACCACTATTCAAACAAAGAAATAGTACTTTGAATTACACCTTCATTAGATATATTTTTCCGTTTTCTCTCTAGTCCTTTATAGCTGACTGACCATAAGGTTTCATCTCATTACATGATCTTCTCCATACCACCCTTAGACATACACCCGATTCGACATTCAATTCCCATTCGAGTTCCACTCGAGGCCTTGCATTGCGTGTGAAGCCACTCAACGGCCTCTTCAGCATGTGCCAAACCCATCTCCACTTTCTTCTACATATTTGTTGGGTAAAAGGACCTAGATTGGTTCGTTTGCAGTGGTTTTTCCATCCCGGCCATCTGATCATCAATACGGAGCGAAGGCAAACTTTTGGAAACTTTTGCTGACCGTATAGAAGAACTAACTTGAAATTAATGTTTGAAAATCAGGATCTTGTTCTTCATGTTGAATGTATTAGATTTCTACATTGGTTTCAGAGTTATGAACGCCGGACTTCGCTTTACGATCTTGGCTTTGACATCCTCATTGATACCGCCTGTAATTGAAACGATGCTGCAGAGATGAATGAAAGGAGTGACTTCCTTCAGTTATCACCCAGTGACGGTATTTGATGCTTGTTACTACTGGTTTGGTATCTTTATCACCACTGTCTTCTCTATGTTCACTTGAATTATATCTTTTGTTTTGTATTTCTGTCAATTAAAAAAATTTCTTCAGGTCACACTGTTTCAGAAACACGTCGACTGTTATAGCTCTTTGTGATGCCATTTATTCGACAATAGGTATCATTTTTAGTGAACGGTAACGAGTAATGCACTGTACGAACACAGCTCATATGTTTTTCCCTGAGTCAGTAGTAAGCAGAAACTACAAATTTCACAATTGTTTTTCGTCTAGATTTACACTTATAAAAGAAATAAATTTACTGCAGTAATGAAAATGCTGGAATTCTGATTCTAGAATGGGTTTACAACATATCCTAACAAAGATGCTTACTGTACAGTATCTATGTCCACGTAATAACATAAGTAATATATTATTTAGACATTTGACATTAGATTGTGAATTGGAAAACAAAAATTTTATGAGGTACATCAACGTTGGTAAACATTGAATAGTTTCTATATTTGAACTGGTCTCCATTAGTGGGTTACAAGATGGCTACCATTGCTTAATCGTGTACTGGTTGGCAGAAATTTAGAGAAATACGATCAGACGTATTGTTGTATATTATATTAACGTTGATTTACAGACTTCGTCACTGATTAACCATTGTAAATCTGTTCCGTTATCACTTGAAGAACAAACAACCATGTTGCCCAATCGTTTTCTGTCGTTCTTTATCGGTTACAGTGCATAATGTTCTGAGTATTAAGCTTAGTCTTCTGAAACCAGCGATAGGTCCAGGATCTCTGCGATCTGGATATTTGATAAGGTATTGATTCAAAACAACTTTAGAATGCCGGTTACTCTATGACAGTAAAAATTAAATTTTTCCTTCACGTTCCCAGTGGAACATAGGGCTTGAAGCTATAGGCTTGAAGTTTCTATAGCAGTGTTTTTATTTTTATAGCCTCATGCCCAACCTTTCCTCTTCACCAGCTTTACTTCTGGCTGAGTGAGGTAAAGGAGTGCACCGACCGGGGATCGAACCCCGGACCATGTGCATGGTCGGCAAGCATCCTAACCGCTATGCCACCATGACAGTAAATGTTGCTTCATATCTAGTCATATCTAGTCCTCAGACTTCAAAGTAGAACATATATAAAATTGCATTTTCATACATCTTTTTTGCTTCTACATGCAGCCTATTATTAGTAAGAATGCTTCGTTTTAACTCGTATCCAAAAAGATAGTCATTCAAACTGCGGGTTTTTTTCTATTGTCTCATATCATCCATCAGTCTGCATTTTGTACAAAATCAGAGTTTGGGATACAGTGCGTACTGATGAAGAGTCCCAAACTAGGACGAAATAGCTGTCCAGTACTCCCAGGTTTTCCAATGGTTCTCTAACTAATGTCAGCTTATGACGAAATCCTGTAACCAATCAAATCCCTACAAACCAACACTTGAATGTTATTATTATTATTCTATTATTTTAGAAGTGTAAAAATAAACACAATTATTTTTCATACTATTTTCAAATAAAGATAATTATAGACATTGGAAAGGTAACAACACTGTGAAATGATGAAATGATACCTTGGAAACTCTGCTTTTTTTAGTTATATGAAGTAGAATCGATTTCGAATGAGAGGGAGAGAGAGAAAGAGAGAACACAGAAAAATAAGAAAAAAACAACAACAGAGTATGGTATTTTTCTTCCCCAAATTAAATCCTGTACATATTAGGTAAATTGCTTTGATATAACACACACACTCCACAGAATTATCAATAAACTAACTAACTACCAACAGATAAGAAAATTGAACAATTCAAACTTAGAAATATGGAAGATAACAAGGATAATATTCAGTAATTAATACTGTATCACTGCTTGTCAAACCAAATAAACTTATTCAACACTGAATCATAGTCATCTAATGCTCAAATTCTTCTCCTACATATATTCTGTACGAACAGTAATGTAGCTGTGACCGATAATCGTTCTTTGCTATTCCACTAAATATCAAAGAAGGCGTAGTACATAGAGTACATAGAGTCAAAAAGGAAAGAGGAAACATGAAAAATTCAGAGAACTAAATCAGTCAAAATCCCTACAAACCAATACTTGTGTATCAATGAGATGCCCAATTTAGGTAGGTAGTTACCTGGGGTTCCAGTGGGAAGTGATGACCAGAAGGGTGCAGCAGGTCGAGTGTGAGGACAAATACTCACCGATGACATTGGCTAGCGGTTGCGTTATGTCATGAATTGGCAGAAGCTAGAATCCATGGGTTGACCATTGGATCGGGTCCCAGTGGCTCAATAGTCTACGAGCTCGCCTTGTAACCAGAAGGTCCTGGGTTCAAACCCTGGCCATCGGTGCGTGCTGATGAAGAGTCCAAAACGTGGACGAAACAACTGTCCAGTACTCCCAGGTTTCTCAATGGTTCTCTAACCAATGTCAGCTCATGATGAAATCCTCTAACCAATCAATCAAAATCTCTAAAAATCAATACGTGAAAATCAAGAAGTGTTTGTGATCTAGGTAACTGACAGACTGACTGAGTTTCAATGTAGAACTCAGCACAGAAGTGGACCAGTTCAAGTGGCCATACTCAATGTAGACAAAAAAAGAGGAAAACAGCGATCCAAAAGAACCACAGTGAGCACAAATGTAAGAAAGAAAGATTGATAACTTAGTCGATCTGGGATGTTATACAGAATAAATGCATTTGCACCACTGAGGATGGTTTTCAACCATATACCAATAGTCACCAGCCATTGGTTTCTAGGATCCTGCCGACTCTGACCATGTCGTCTACAAATTCTTACGTGACTGGCTCAAATCAAAAACTTCATGGATTGATTTATATCACCCATGACTCTTCCAACTTGATCCTATATCGAGTAATGAGGTGGCTCAGTATGCACAGCACGTATCGGGGCCATCTTAATTGATGTAATTTCACAACCTCATCGACTAACTTCCCTTCCTTAATTTGCAATACTCTACACCTAACTCCAACACAACTCACCATACTACCTAACAAACGGAAAAAGAAAAATGCAAACATTTGGTCTAAATAACCAAACAGTTTAGCGACCAATCACTTGAAAATGTAAGGAGCTTTTTTTTAATTCAGGCTTTTACACTGATTATAAATCTCCCAAAGGAAAAACAGTGAACTCTTATAACCTAGAAATCCACTTAATCAAAAACGATCAGAAAATACATCACTCCCGTCGCATTCCAATGTCTATTGAATAATTTGTTAATATACTTAAGAGCCTCTGAGTTCTGGGAATTATTTGAGACTTGAAGACGAAAGTCACGTACACAACAACTGATAGCAGAGAGAATGGATAACACGATTCAATAAAAATATTGTTAAGTCTTAAAATTCTCTTCACTTATTTGATACAAATGACTGAATTAAAACATGTAATGTAGTAGAAAAATAATGTTACAATTGCGAATGTATCAATAAGTCATCTGATGATGACTTGTGATGACTGACTTTAAGGCAAGCTTTGTCATCATCTGTCATCACCCAAAAGAATCAATAAAATTCAAGAACTGCTGAACATTCAAGTATTGGTTTGTGGGGATTTTGATTGATTAGTTACAGGATTTCATCATGAGCTGACATTGGTTAGAGAACCATTGGAAAACCAGATGAGAGTACTGGACAGTTATTTCGTCCTAGTTTGGGACTCTTCAGGAGTATGCACCCACCAAGAATGTTCGAACCCAGGACCTTCTGGTCACAAGAGGAACTCATAGAACATTAAGCCACTCGGACCCGATCCAATGGTCAACCCATGGATTCTAACTTCTGCCAATTCACGACATGGCGCAACCGCTAGCCAATGTCTTTGGCGAGTATTTGTCCTCACACCCTATCTGCTGCACTCTACTGGTTTACTAGTGGGAAGTCGTGACCACTAGGGTGCAGCAGGTCGGGTGTGAGGACAGTTACAGAAAATGTCCAAATATTTCTTTTTCCTCACCAGTAGCTGCTAGTACACATATGACAAAGTAAACTATGGTAGCTGACAGCTCAAAAGACAAGTGAAATAATGAGAAAAAAACACGTTTGGCGGAGTTGTTACAATTTTTCTACAGGTTGTTTGTTATATCACCAACAAATTGTAAATTTCAAAGATAAGTAAAAGAAAAAGGCAAAACCATGATGAGTGTCGACTGTTTTCATACAGTCGGTTCCCTTTATTAATTTGAATAAATTAAGAACGAACATATCTGAGGGATGATGATGCTACGAGCTCGTTTTATTTCGTGGATTCTGTTCAACTGCGTACATTCTAAATAAATCGATTATAATATATTACAAAAATTTATCAATAACTCTTTCGAATGACTTCAAGTTGTAGATAAAAAGTATGGGGGGGAACATAATTTCAAAGATGATGTAGTGAGTTCAACTAACTATTTGCTGGTTGGTTGGTGTGCTTTTCTGTGTTTGTTTTGTTCTGTAACATTCTACTCAATCTTGATTTGGATTTTCACTCACTGAGTTGAACTCACTGCTAAGGTTCCGGATCTACTAAATTAAATTATTTTGCCTATTTTATAATTTTACTTCATCATTGACCCCCACTCTCCTGAACTCTCCACCATAGTATGTATAAATTTCACTCTGATGTTCTATCTTGCATTTTGCCTCTAAAATCAACCCCTCCCACCCCCGTCTAATTACTTTATAAGTAGTTACTCTTTTAACACTAAATAATTGTCCACCTACATCATCTTTGAAATTATGCTACTCATACTTTCTATCTATAACTTGAAATCCTTGTAAAAAGTATGTTGAGAAATTTTGTAACATGTAATCGATTTATTTAAGATGTACACAGTTGAGCAGAACCCATGAAATAAAACGAGATCGTAGTATCATCATCCCTCAAATATGTTCATTCTTTCAGTATTCTATTTTCATAGGTGAAATAGGTAAAATAACCCGTGTAAACTAATGATAAAGAAACCATAGTTGAAAAACCTTTCTTCACTCCTTTGAGTTCTTAGTGAAAAATAAAGCTTCAGGCATGGAGCCCTGAAGTCTCAGTAGCTCTGTAGTGTTGTTTCCACGGGGTGGAAGTGCTAGCCTCACGTCTATCCACCCCACCCCCATTTTCTCAGACTTACTACCGACTAATAAACAACGCGACGTCTAGAAGTGTACCAGTCGGGAATCGAACCCTAGACCACGTACGTGGTTGGCGAGCACCCTACCACTGGAACCTCTGACACAATTGAAACAACATTTATGATGAATATATATTGTTTTGTAATGAAATGAAATAAAATAAATTAGCATGAAATACAAAAATTGGAAAAAACACTCACAGGCATAGGAATTTTAGTCAACTCTTTACCGATACAATTCTTCATGATACTCCATAAATTCAAGCTTATATTCGGTTTTGGGGGGATAGAAAGTCTTCTGATAATCGGTGAGCGTTTTGCAATCACAGTAAGCAGTTCACCAGTTTGCGAGTTGGCAGGATTATTCGTCTTATCATTTGGTGAAGCATTAATATCTTGTGACATTTGACCGTCACCGGTTGAAACTAAAGTACCTGTTCGACTGGGCATATGAAAATAATTATAAAAGTTAAAAGAATGATATGTAGGAATCGCCTAACACATATATATAATGATTACTAGAAATGCAGTAGTAAAGTAAGTAAATATGGATTTAGGCATTCTGTGAAACAACACCCACACATACACTAGTCACTATATAACACGCAGTAAAATAAGTGGATACTTGAAAACACCAAAACAGAAAAACGAAGTTAATCTATTACCACTATATACCATGTATAATACAACATTACTCCATCACTATGTAAGTATTTACTCAACAATGTTGTGTAATTGTGTAACGTCTATTTTGTGAGATGAAGATGGAAGAAAAACAAAACAAAATCAAATGAAATCAATAACAAATTTGTGTATATTAGAAGAAAAAAAGAGGCCACAATAGAGACACAAAAAAGTAAATGCAAAAATGATACACACACATTGATAGACACAATTACTATTATTACAGATTTGGATAGGCAATACAAAAAGTGTCTTCAAGTGTAGCAAAGAAGTGTAAAGATCCAGTTTCATCAGTTCAGGCCTAGATTTTAGAGATAATGATAATTTACAAAGTTATTAGCGTGGTTGTACTCATTCAATACCTCATTATTCTATGTGAATAGTATTAGTAAGTAACGGTGTATAGTGTTGAAATATGTCAGTGCCAAAAATAATGTGTTGATAATACAATAGTGTAACCAAGTTATCGTTGCTTTATGTCTTCGGTTATGCTAAAAACTAGATGCAAACTTTCGCAGGTTACTTCCTCTGAGGTGAGAAAGATTCAGGTAACGCTGAGTACCTTGAGATTCAGTGAGGGATTTGTTGGAGATTCGGCAAAGTTCAACAATAGCGTCCCAAATGGTGCGAACGCATGATTGACCTTGAGCCGACCAATCATAGAAATGAGGAACTTTTGAACAAAAACTGATGTTTATTTACAAAACAAAATGCATGAAAACACATTAAACAGGGATCTGTGTCTGACACGACTTAAAAATAGGTCTCAGTTATCATAAAAACAGTGTCAGTTGCTAAGTTAGACTAGTTTCTCTATATGTATTCACCGAGGTGACTGAAGATGAGATGTTTTTGTGAATCATTTATCTCTCTTATCCTGTTGTGCAGTCTTCTCCAAAGACCTCGGTTAAATTACTACGGTTTCCAGTAAAAGGATCGACGACTAATTACGAGGAAAATGTAGGTAAGAAAACGAATTAAAATAAATGACATCACCTCTAAATCTATCTCTAGTCGTAACCCTGACCCTAATCCTAACCATAATTACAACCCTGATCCTAACCGAAACCCTAATGCTCACCTTAACGGTAATCCTAACCCTAACGAGCTATTAACATATTGTCGAAACAGTAATTAAAAATGTGATCTGAGTGAAATTTACTGCTTAGTTGGTGAATAGCGCTGATATTTCAGCTATGATAATGACAGGTGCCGTTAGCCAACGACTAGCACGCGTTCAAGGTCATTGGAGCGTCCGCACTCTTGGGACGCTGTTGTTGAACTTCGCCGGAGATTCTTGGAAATATAACTCAAGATCATTTACATTGTCACTAATTTTTACACTTATCCTCAGCATCTCTGAGGTCGTGAATATTCGTATTTACACTGATTGATGCCACATGACAAGCGATTCACGACGGAAAACTTAGCGAAGCCTTTGAGGTGAAGACAGGAGTAAGACAAGACAGCTTACTATCGCCAATGATATTCTCCATCGAGGTGAACTGGATCATGCAACAAACCGTGAGGAACGAGAAGACTGGTATGTGTTGGGTCAAAGAGAAGACTCAAGAAAGTTTGGACCAGAAAGGATTAGCAACAGGAAACTCTAGGAACGAACCAACCGAGAATCGATTGGAGATACGCTGAAGACACTGTTACGTGCACTGTAGGCCCTAAAGTGGAACCCAAATAGGAAACAAAGCGTTGGACATTTGTCCAAGGATAGCCTCCAAAGCCTCAGGATGGTCGGGGGTGGGTGCCTTGCACTGCGGGTTGGCCACCCCTCCGCACACCTCTTGAAATGCTCCCATATGACCGGGCGTCTTACATAGCCTCTCCTGAGGAAGTCCTACTCACTGCCTTCACGTGGCAGAGGTGTTTTTCACCAAAGTGAGAGGGCGAAAGCGGATGCCCGGCGCTCTTCACCGGGTTGACTGTCCATTGGATGATAGTCTAGGGGAGATGGCTAAACCCTGATTCCAAACCTCCAACGACTGGCGTATGAAGCTCACTGGAGCTCACCAGCAGACGTATGGACAAAGGGCTTGTTGGATGTCCTGGATGTCTGGCCCCATTCATAAAGGCGTATGAACCGAACTCCGGTCACCGGCTGCCAATGGATAGTGGACTCCCTACTCCACTCCTACTGCCTTGTAGGTCACGCTTGGTTGTGTAAAGGCTAGAGCTGCACTCTCAAACAAAAGGCCGAGAGATTCTGGGGACATCACTCGTACCAAATTCCCATGAAACTTCATGAACCCCCTTACAAACGCATCAGATCGCAGCGCCTGGGCAGCGATGATTCGAGATGTTCATGAAGCCGACTCATCCTTCCGTAGGAGATAGCCGAAGTAAAGTAAAGTAGTGAGGAGGCTATGAAGGTTTAATGGACAATCATGGACCTAGCTAAAAACGACCTCAGAAAACCAAGTAAAGTGGGACAAAGTACTGTTCCACACAAAATTCAGAGGAATATACATTGAATTTCTCCGCGATCTAGAAGTCACATATACCATCAAAGAATCATTTCACTTCTGATTCTTTCCTATGTTGTTATTTTGAAGTGTTACAGATTGACTGGATACGCCTATTTGTGCAAAGTTATACGCTGAATTCATCAGAAAAACACATATATGACTAGAGATATGAGAGATAGTTTGTTTCTATGTGTAAAGCTTTAGTGTCAGTCAGCATTAAGGACTAGGCAACATAACAAAGATGACTAGTTAGAGTTATCACCTATTCATAAGGGCATCAAGTAAAAAATAATAATAACAAGTCATGAATAAACAAGCTCGGTAAGATCCTGCTTGCCCAATTGATTCACCTTTTTATAAGCTTACTAAGACAATACGCAGCAGACAGTAAGACTCAACAGGTGAATACGCCACAACCGTTATTATTTACACTAGTTTATAAGGTTAACATACATACAAACATACGGACATGGTAACAACATATAAGTATCAGTTTCAAGAAATATATGATATATAAACGGTGAGTGATAGTCTTGTTTGTGGAAACATACTTCAAGCGTACGGAAAAGTGTCCATAGGTTTGTACTACCAAATACTGTCCAAAATAGTTTCTGCTACTCACAATGGCATTTTAAGGAGGTCGATCACATGGCATTTGTTAAACTGTGATCATACAGTCATGTTAAATAAGAGCTTTATACTTATCAATAATAAAAAAAAGTTTTCGGCTTGATTGTAGCTTATGTAATCAGATCAATGAAGCCAGATATGTGTATACAAAGCGGAGATAGTAGTTAGTTTAAATCTACCTTGGTAGCAGCCTTTCCTTATACAACGGTCTTTCTCTATCATTATTATGGTTTTATCTGGCATACTATCAGTTTTTCTTCCTCAGGATATTTGCAGGTCAAAAATCATGGTTGAGTATTAATCTTCATGAGGAGTATTCAAACCCCATCTTTTGCGTTTACCTCAGACACGTTAAAATTTATGTTACTTAATCTTGTATGAATTAGACATGTTAAGTTTGTTTATTGGCTGTTACGAAATTTCCTAGTAATTCAATGTCATCAAATCGATATATGTGTGAAGCAAGTTCACTTTCAACTGTTTGAAAAAAAAATTTGGGCATTAAGAATATGATGCTCATCATTATAAAAGCTCTTGTATTCTCAAGTATTGGTTTTGTAGGGATTTTGTTTGATTGCATGGAGGATTTTATCATGAGCTGACATCAGTTAGAGAACCACTGGAAAACCTGGGAGTACTGGACAGGTGAGTGCGTACTGATGAAGAGTCCCAAACTAGGACGAAACAGCTGTCCAGTACTCCCAGGTTTTCCAGTGGTTCTCTAACTGATGTCAGCTCATGATAAAATCCTCCATGCTCTTGTATTTCCCGATGAATGATAAAACACATTTCATTCTTGGAGAAACTTAGAGAACAACCTATCTCCCAACATCCATTTTACCTCGGAAGCAGAATCAGACGTCGGTGAACTACTATTTCTAGACTACATATTCAAAAGGAAGGAAAATGGATATTTTAATATATCTATATTATTCAGGAAGAAAACCCACTCCAAGAAATATCTAGACGTCAGATCATCACAACCCATCACTTCAAAGGTATCCGTTGTCCTCTTAGATGAGCACACACTTTGATAACGGATGAGAAGTCAAAAGAAGAAGAAATATCAAACATTACTGAGATTCTCAAAAAAATTTCTAACCAAAGAACTTCATTCGCAAAATCAATACCGACATTAAATATGGTCGAAAACATATTCCGAAGACATGTGCCTCAACAGTTGTCGTTCCATATAGATCAGAAACGTCAGAAGATAAAAGTACAACATCAGAGTTTTTCTCATAACATCAGATACACTACAAAGCAATCTTGTTCATGTAAAACACCAATTCCCTAAGCAGTCTCAATCTAATTGTGTCTATAAAATAAAATGCTTGCTTGGAATATGATGCGATATACATCGGACAAACATCGCGAGAAATCAAAATCAGAAGAAATGAACACTGTTCGACCACCGGGAAATCCAGTTGAATTAGAATAGCTTGAAAAATCCTCAGCCACATGTCTACACACCATAGAATCAGGTCACAAAATTGATTTCGACAATAATGAAATCAGCCATCAAAATTTCAGATATTACAAACGTCTAATATCAGTTGCACTTCATAGCAAGTGGAATCCAAAATGTCTGAATAGGAATGATGGAATAAATGATGGAACTCCCCCCTCCTCCCAACGAAATGACAAA